TACCACTGTGGGAAAATGTGCCAATTATACGATTATACAAAGTTTTCTTTACCACTTACATTTTTTGTATGTGTTGAAAGGCTCATGCTCACTTATCATGGATGATAGCATATTACTCTCATCCATGCAGAAAATATCAGTAAAATAAGGGAAGGAATGGTTAAAATGTTCACACAGACAGAGTCCAACTCTTGTGAATCGACCTAGAGTTATCAATGTCCTTTGTCTTTTCTCAAAAGACCATTTCACTTGCCACCAGAGTTAGTGCTACCGATTTCTTCATTAAAGAGTATGCTGATTTTGACTTTCAGATTTTCTTCCAAAGCACTAAAATATCTTCTTTAAGTTTTATGCTTGTTGGTGCATACTTTGTCTACCAGAAGGTGTTCATAATGAGTTTATAGACAGCACCCCGGACTCACTTTCCTTTCCCAAATGGTTCTAAACAGTTTCTTGACTAAGACAATGAAGAGTTGCAATTAAGCTGAAATATAATTAAGCTCAAGAAGGGAAGCACAAACGTTGCACTGACATCAGTGGAAGAGAAAAACATGAGCATCTATGACCAAGGCTGGGCACACGCAGGCAAGTGGGGACTACATCACTATGACCGCCCGGCGGCAACCAGTGAGCGATGCCATTCAAGATAAGGTGTCATGATAGCCACAAAATATACCCCTGCTTCAGGAATGTGGAAATATGTGTATCTTTTGAATGAACCCATCAGCAGTTAATAGATGAATGCTTCAACTGTTCTAAGAAAGCCAGACAAGAGTAGTCTCCTGTGAGCTGTCTTGGTGGTGTAGGTGGTGACCTGCCACCACTCTGAGAAGATCAAACCAGAGCTTCACATCTCTCTCCATTGATTTTTATCTCTTTGATTCTGGCAATCATTCCTTGATTTAATGACTATTACTAAAGTTTAGAAACTTTCTTAAGGAGAATGAAAAAAACCTAAAAGGAAGGCCAAACTGGTATTAGGATCCCTGGGGACCAATTAGTGAAAAGCAATTCACGCTCAAGTATGTGTGGGTTCAATAAAAATGTATTGAACTTTAAAGTTAATGGAGCAAAAATTAAGATCAGAGCCTCCATTTCTTGGTAAGAACAGTTTCCTAAGTCATTTAATTAATGTTTTATCCTAGGGGAAAAAATGAGTCCCAGTATTATAGTAGCAAGAGATTTACCAAATTAGACACAGGACTGAAAAAGAAAGGCTAAAAGGCTTTGTCTTAGCATTACTTTTGGAATTACAGAAAAAAAGTATTTTGATATATCCAATTTTATTACTTTCTAGGGCATGCAGTAAATATAAGTAAACGGCTGAAAATTGCTACCAAATGATATGTCTGTGCAAAGAGCTTTTACTTCTATGACTCAAGTGTGGAGAAAGCCTTCTGTCCTTGGCTTCCTTTAACCAGACCCCATTTACTGAATTATCTTCCAAAGGTCCCATCACCCAAGACCATCATATTGGGCGTGAGAGTTTCAACATATGAATCTGGGGGCAGACATAATTTAGTACATAGCAGTGAGGGAAGAACTCAAGTTCGTTTTCTCCCTTGTGGGTACCCAGTCATTCGAGTGCCATTGTTTCTTTTCCACATTAATATCCTCGGCATATTTTAAAAATAAAGGGCTCCTTGTGCAGGTGTCTATTTTTGAAAACTTCATCCTGTCCTGCTGATTGCTAGATCTACCCTATGTCGACACCGTGCTGTCTGGATTATTTAGCTTTCTAGCAAGTCTTAAAATCAGGGAGTGCAAATCCATCAGGCAAGTTCTTTTCCAAATTGTTTTAGCTATTTTGGGTCTTTTGCATTTCTGTATATATTTTAGACTCAGCTGTCATTTACTTCAGAAAAGTCAGCTGGTATTTTTATTGTGATTACATTGAGTCTATAAATTGACTCGGAGGATTCTCATCTTAACAATATAGAGTCTTCGAATTCATGAATGTCGTACATATCTCCATTATTTTGGTCTTTAATTTCCCTCAGTCATATTTTATAGTTTTCAATATACAGCTCTATCACATATTTTGTTAAGTCAACCTATATTTATTTCACATTTTGATGACATTATAAGAGGTATTTTTAAAAATTTCCCTTCCAATTATTCATAGACTATATATAAAATAAAGTTGAATTTAAAATTGATCCTATGTGCTGAAATCTTGCTAAATTCAATTCTAAGTTCTGACAGCTTTTTGTTAAGATTCCTTCAGATTTTTTCCCCTTAATATTTTAAGGGTAAAAAAATTTGATTTTCATTGCTCTACACTCTGATTTCTCCACAGGCAATAATACTGGAGTGTAAATTCATTCCAAAGAATTGCACATGGTTAATTAGAGAGTTCTTGTATATCTGCTGATTCTTCGATGAAATAGGCACCTACTAACTCAGAAATGTTGCTTCAAGCGCCAGGTCGTATGAGGACAGCCACTCTTTGCCCCGTGTCTGTACTCCAGTGTCTTGTTGCACCTTTTCCCAGTCTCTCCTGGCCTCCAATTCCTGACTCATAAGGGGGAGCACCGACTTCTGATTCTAGACTTTGAGTTTATAATGATCCTTCCAGCATTGAATGCAAGCTTCTCCCAAGCTTCTCCCAAGCTTTCTGCTTGGCTTCTCTGTTCACACCTCCCATGTTTTTGGCTAAGGATATATCTTAGCAGAGCTCTGTAGGAAGAGAACTCTTCAGACGTAAGCAGAAGCTTCATTCAGAAGCTGGAAAAGGGCAAGTTATGTAATGTCTGATAAAGAATAGGAAATTGTGATTCCTCAGTGCCCGCTATGTGACAGTACTGTGACGTGTGCTTTATATTCACCGACTCACTCACCCTCTCCACACACACCTACGAAGCAGAGATCACAATTCTCCTGGTGTAAAGAAGGAAACTGAAGGCCGAGGGGTTGAATTGTTAACAGTGACAGAGCTGCGATACGTCTAGTTTTTCCTGATTCCAAGGGCATGTAGGAGTGTGGGTGTCAACACAGTTTCTAGACATTAAAATATTTGTTCTTTAAGAAGTTTTTCTGGCAAACAACAACAAAGAAAGATTACCTTCTAAACCAAAAGAACAAGCAAGAAGGAAAACCAAACCAAACAGAAAAACCTTGAGGATTATGGACATTACCTATTCTGATATATTTATATTTTTTCATGCATCTTAAAATTATTAAAATCATCAAGATCATAGAAATCCAATTCATACTGAATGTCAAATAAGCCAAATTGCACATCAAATAATTTGATGTTTTGGTTGAGACATCAATTTTGAAACCTGTGGTGAGCTAGTATGTTCGCCTTAAAGGCTTTGAAAGAACAAAGTAAAAACTAATGTGGACGGGTATAAATGACGTGAAAATTCTGCATAAATACTATAAAAGAAAAAACCACTTGTTTTGGAAAGTCCTGAGACACCTACTGACATGAGGAAACAGACAAGTTAATTAAATTGCTCTACATAAAAAGAGGAAAATGGGATACCCAGGAGAAAGATGCAGGCAAGGGGACCCTGGAGGTAGCGATGCTAAATAATAAAAAATAAACCATGCCCACTCTCTCTCTCTCTCTCTCTCTCCACACACACACACACACACACACACACACACTAACTTTTAAGTCCAGAAAAACAAATGTGTTATATAAATTTTAGGTGAGCAAATCCCTAACCTGTAACCCCTTTTTCAAAACTATGTAATTTATAAAATAGTGTGCATATCTGAAAATATTCATTTTCTTATGAGAATTTTTATTTCCTAGTAGGTATCTACAATGTGATTAAAATCACACTGTCAATATCTAGGCAGACAGACAGTTGAGTGAACTCAGAGCCGCTAAGTAAACCCAGGACTGGAGGCTTTTCGGGAAATCAATGTGATCGAGACGTTAATATTACCCTCATGCAAAAGACCTCCAGACTCATAAAATGATTTCTACTCAGATTGTTTTTCTTCCCCTTGAAAGCTTAAAAGACATCTGGTCTACCCCAGATGGATAGTATTAGAATCTGACTTTGAATAAGTACTTAAGAGTTTTGTATGAAGAAACTACTGAAATTAAAATTGCTACATCAAGCGCAACAAACCTTCACTATCATTACCTTATAATACCACAAATTCATTTTCGGAATGTGATGAATCGCATCTCCAGTGCAAACACTGATACATTAAACATCATTCATACAGAATCCTCAAACCCAGATCTGGTCTTGGAGGCATGATAACAGTATCACAAAGGGCCACAGCATAAACACATTAATTTAGCTGGTTGAAGTTCATGACTAAACCTTGTCTGTGAGCAATGATTGTGAAGCAAGCATTCATTTCCAACATTTATGGATTCCAGTTATATGCTGTGGTCAGGAAACCAATGTATTTGCCTTGACGTCCTAAGTTTAAAATCTGAGTTACCCATTCCATAAATTATGCATTTGCCAATATGTATTCAGTCATTCTGAATTAATATTTATACTTAACTAATGTTATGAACATAAACACCTGGATAAATGAATACCCATTAACTTATTTTAAACCTAAAAAATAATATTTAAACATTTTATATAAACCTTCTTTCAAAACTGTTTGCTTATAAAACACTCACAAAATAATGCCAGCAAGGACATGTTGAATTTTATAAGAATCCTGTTGTGCTAAAAATATAGTAGGATACAGGAGAATATTGTAATAGTATAGCAAACTGTAGTATTAGTTTGCAATACTAATCATGCAAAATAGTACTGCATGATTAACATACTTATGCAGCCAGTTTGATGCCAGCCTGAGACTGAAATGATTTTGAATAGGGTAATTAACCTAACCATAGAATTAACACAATTTTATTCAATTATAAGCAAGAATCTGGAGAAATGATGTGCTGGGTAAGCTCTACCCTTTAAAAAAATAGCGGTCACCCCGGGCACTGGTGGACGGAACCTTCCCCTCTGGAGTCGACCTGTCACACACCTCCCAGGCTTGGTCCTGCACTTAGGGCTTACCTTCCTGACTCAAAGGTGAACCACGTGGAGTCCCGCCCGTATCTCCTCAGGGAGCTGAGAGGCCACATCACCAGTTTGACCTTGGCGTTGTGGATATCCCAGAGATAGATATTCTCATGAGTGATCTGCATCGTGCATTCGCCGTAAATATCCAGATTTGGTGTAGGCATCAGGTACACATTGAACCGCTCTGCAAAGAAACAAAGAATGGAGAAAAGAGGTGACTGTGGCGGCACGGGATTGACTTGTCTACCTACCTACAGTCCTCAGAAAGTGGTCCCGTGGCCCTGGGGGGCATCCAGATACACTGCAAAACATGACTTTTTCCATATGGTGTATGAAAAAAGGAGTTCAAGTATGCTTAATCATTAATTAACTCAGTCACTCTACAGCTTTTTGTTGCATGCACTCTCTGTGGTGGGGATGAAATGGTTAAACTGTATGCTGGAGAGAAGGGTAAGAAGCTAAGTGGTTTCAGCGCGAAGGGTGCTTCCTGCCTGCTTCCCCACACTCCTTAAGTGGCTATCATATACTCAGATCCTGAGAGGGGTGTCTTACTTCGTTTAAGCGAGAATGTGCTCGTTTTCACCTCTGCGGCATGAAGCATGCAGTGCACACTCCGACGGCTCTCAGAACACACTGTGCTCACTGTCAGTCTCAGATCATTGCAGGTATTCAGATAATTGCAGAACTTCAGATGCGGTTTTGGTAAGCAAAACCAGAAAGACACAACTGCTTTCATTCCTGGATAGTTTATAGTTGAAACCTGATTATTAGGCAATCATCCCAAATCTAGCTTTATAAATTTGTGTGTGTCTTAAAGGCGACCACAAAATTCTGCAGCCTCTGGTCCCCCATTTAAATGCATTGTATGCACTTTATTTTGAAAAATAAGGTTAGTTCCTAAGTTCCAGGAAGGGAAGACCTTGAGATGACCTCTAAGGTATCCTATAAAACATCCCATTCCTGCCACCAGAGTCTTGGTTTAAAGTAAGTGGTCAATAAATACCAGTTAACTATGAATAAAACAGGTATTGCCATAATAAACACGGGCTGCAAGAACTGAGGGATTACAAACAAGTAATGCATTGCGATAACCAGAACTGTAAGAATTACCGGCAGATAAATCTTTATGAGTCTAAATTTAATTATGAATTGCATCAAAGGCAGTGCTGTTGAACAGTTACTGTGAAAGGCATAATGGGGCAGCTGCCCTTGGAAGAAGATGGGGATGTTTAGGGTGGACTCTCACCCATCAGGAAACCTCGATTAAACACTGACGTTTGCTTGTACTGAGCCGGCATTGTCTGTATAACAGAAAGAATCTTTTCGGTGGCAGGTATTTTGCAGAATAAGGATTTATTGATGTAAAAAAAAAAAATCAGATTCCAAATGGGTTACATTTACTTTAAGCATGACAGCTTGAAATTTAGTAACCATATGAACAATATTCATGATCAAGTGTCTAGATATTTTTTATGAAAATAAAGATTCAATTTTTTTATTTAGGTTATCAACTTATAGAACTAATATGTATATGATTTCACATTCATTTCCTAAAGAGCGGACTACATGACATAAATTCTATAGCTGAAAAAAGGAACATTGCCCTATTAATTACCTGCAATAAAAAGCGCACACACACACACACACACACACACACACACACACACTCCATAAATGCTAAAATTCTTATGTGAAACCAAGTAAGGTATCACCATTTAGCATTAAAAACATCACTCACATTCCCATCACAATTCCCATACCAATGGGGTTACGAGGAGTACATCAAAGGGGCATGATCTCATATAAGAGTAGAAATGAAACTTGGACCAAACAGAGTGACTCAGGAATACAGGTAGTGCCCAAACAGCAGTCTTCTTTCCTTTGGTCAAGACCCTTTGGATGAAGTCCAGCTTTTACATTTGGAACAAATGATGTGCCCGTGGCATCTGTTGTGCGTGGGGAAAATACTGTTGTAAAAATAGAAAGTAAAACATTCCTCCAAATTCCTTCCTTTCCATCACTTCCAGAGTCTGAAGACAGCAACCAAAGAATCATTGCCCAAATGCCAAGAAATAACAACACTTCTTCCAAAATACTGAACTAAATGAACATCATTAACCAATTTTACTACTGCTTAGGGCCGCAGTGACCCTTGATATTCACACCCACAGTCTGATATTTGAAAGAAAAGGCAGCTGTAAAAAAATAATCCTGACATTGAGTGGCCCTCAGGCGATGGTACATGAAACATCGCAGAGGACTCAGGAGAACCATATTTCCATGAAATGTCTGCGTGCTCTAATGTTAGCAGGTAAAACCCAGCAATAAATGAAGACAGAAAGAGGGCAATAATTACAATGGACATAGGAGAAAGCTGGAAAATAACAAATAAGTGGATTTAGTAAGATTCACATAATATAGGGCTCTAGATATTTACAAGCAAGTACAAAGTGGCTGAATAACTTGCCCCGAAGGAGTCCTTCCACAGCCAGCTCCAGGCAACACAGTACAGGTGCAAAGTACCTTCCCCTCGCCTGCCTTCAAATTTCCCGGTCTTCACACACTTTGTTACCTAGCAACTCAAATTAACCCCTTCTTGATACTGTTTAGAACGCTCCAATCTTCCTTTTAATGCTATTTCTTGCATCTTATGAAAAAATTATCCTAAAACATTTTAGTTTCAATTTTTAAATATTAAATCCATCTTCCCCTAATGGCTGATTTCCAAGGATTTGAGATTCAATTAAAAACGAGACTAATGTAACCCCGTAGAAAGCTGGGCACATAGAGATGAGGGCAGCACATCTATTACCTAGTAAATTGTACTTCCTCCAGTTCCATCATAATGGAAGCAAGTTTTCCTCAGTTGCTATGAATAATGTACTTTATGCCCTTAGTAACGTAAAGCGGGTGTTTTGCTCAAATTCGTTATGGTTTCCATTGTAAAGACCATTTCAACGTGGCATAGTTAAAACTGGTTCCCCTAAAATGACCTTTAAAAATTTTTGCCTTTGTGAAATAATTTTATCAGGCAGGTGTTTAAACATCTCTCTAATCATGTCACTTTCTTATTATGAACCTACATTTGGTTTTTACTTCCTAGAGCACCAGTTTTCCGGTTTCCATGTGCATCAAAATGACCTAAAGGGCCTGTTTAGATACAGATGGCTGGGCGTCCACCATCCATCCAGACTGGGGCTGGATAATTTACATTTCTGCTTGTTCCTGGGGTAGGGAGTGGGAAAGCTGCTGCTCTGGGGACCACACTTTGGGAACTGCTGATCTGTGAGACTCTTCTTAGAATATTGCCAGGAAGCAGTAGCATTAGAGAAACCATGAGGAATACTTTTGAAAAGTGATGCTATTCGAAACTGTTCTCTTATCTCTGCTCAAATAAATTATTCTCATCTTAATTGACTCATGACTATATCAAGATATGTCAGTGGAACAAAAGAATGGAGAGAGGCAAGGAAAGAACAGAGGTGGGTACAAGATTCGGTCTCCAATTCATCAAGATATGTATATTCCAACTATTTTCTTTCAAGACAATCAACAAAAACAATAAAAACATTATAAAGGAGCACTCACAGCATATTTCCATTATCAAAAAAAAAATAGAAAAGAGATTCGTTCTCTAAATAAAGATAATCTGAAACATGAATAAAAATTCTAATAATATGAAGTCTTGTGAAGACCACTGAATGTGTGAAAAAATAAATTTTTGAAAGGTTATGTAAAAAACACATTAGATTAAAATATATTCACATATATAAACTATAAAATCCTACAGTGAAAAAAATCCTAAGTGTATTGTCCATAAAATAGTATTTTGGTAAAACTTATAATGGCTGAAATATGAGAAAACATAGTTTTATTTTAAATGGCCAAAAACAATAACAAAATAGAATATTTATTAAACTGATGTCCCACAAAGAATGTAGCTGAATCTGCAGTTGCATTTACAAGGGCATTTTTACGCCAGGGCTGGATTAAGAGGTTGAATGAAATAGATGGAGCCTCAGAAACCAGGGACGCAGGGTTACAGTCACAACCCCAAGAGCAGTTTTGAGGGGACTACAAAACAGGGTGCAGTGAAATTGAATTGGACAAGGTCTGGTGAGAAAGGGTAGCTACACTCAGGAGCAATAGCCCAGGGAAAGGAACAGTGAGACCCAAGCTAATGTGTAGGAGACCGAATGGGCCTTCAGCCCTGAGAGGGACAAAACCTCCCTTGCTCAGCCACCGAGATTTTAAATAGATCAAGTTTAGGGCAGGAACTGATTCTCAGTTCAGTGATGAGCTTGGAGGGCAGGTGGAGGTAAGTGGGGCGTGTCCTTCCTGCTGTAGCAGGAAGCAGAGGATAGGAGATGGGGTTTCTGACATGAAGCAAAACCTCCATCCAGTGAGTAGAAATAAACAAAAGACAAAAGTATGATGGGCTCTTTGGCCAGTTTCTTGATATTGGAGACAGTTTCTTACCAATATTGAATATTGCAATCATGAACCTGTTTACTGCTTCATGTATTTAGATTTCTTTTAATGTCTTTCAGTAATATTGAGTTTTTAGTGTAGAGATATGGTTATATACTTTGATAAGTTTATCTCTGAGTATGTGATTTTTGATGGTATCATAAAGGATATTTTTATATTTCATTTTGCAAATGTTTAGTTTATTGCTAATATGCGTATAATTATATAGATTATAATATATAACATATATATGCAAATTTTTGCATATTAACTTTTTATTCTGCAACATCCCTGAATTTACTTAGTTGTAGTTGCTTTCTCATAAATTTCTTGGGGTTTTTCAGCTACAGAATCCAAGCTTATTGTTAATTTTTATGATTTTCTTTTCTTGTCATATTACACAAATTGGGACCTTAAGTAGAATATTGACTAGAAGTGGTGAGAGAGGGTGTCTTAGCTTATTTCCAATCACATGAGAATAGCATTCAGTATTTTACCTCCAAGAATGACATTTTTTGAAGATTTTTCATTGCTGTCCTATATCAGTTTGAGAAAGTCCTATTCCTAGGTTTTTGAGAGTTGTTTTCATAAATGCATGTTGTACTTTTAAAACCGGATGGCTTAAAACAACAGAAAATTAGTATCTCATGGTTCTAGATGCGAAAGTCTGAAATGAGGCATTGGCAGGGCTGTGCTCTCTAGGGGGCTCCAGAGGGAGAATCCTTCCTGGTCTCTTCTAGCTTCTGTGTTTGCAGCAACCTGTGTCCTGTAGATGCCTCACTCCCATCGCACGGCCCTGTTCTCTCCATGTGTCTTTACATCATCATTCCTCTGTGCATGTCTGTCTCTGTCTCCAAATTTCCCCTCTTTATAAGGACACGGTGAATGTCATATTGGATTAGGGCTCATTCGAATGATGACATTTAAACTTGGTTATCTCTATAAAGACCCTGTTCCCAATAAGGTCACCTTTTAAGGTTACTGTGGGCTGCCTTAATTACTACTAATAGATATGAAGATTCTGCAAGTCATAAGAATTTAAAGTTTAAAACGAGTACTTAACGTATACTTTCTTGCGCCAGTGTTATCTGAAGTCTAAGGATAGTCTGTGTGTGTGTGTGTGTGCCCGCTTGCTCGCTTGCTTCTGTTTGCTTACTTTTTCCTGTACTGCATGAGATTCTGAGTCCATATAAAAGCAGCTGGCAGCATTAGATAAAGATGATTAGGGCAAAGAATTTAATCGATAACTACTTTTATCTCAGCAACACACATTACACCTTTAAAAATTACTTGCACAAATGTTCATTCTCAGCTAGTCTCAGAGTAAATAAGATCAAGCGGTCTGAAGAGTCAGAAAAGCAGCAGAGGAAAAGTAGCAAATCTGAATGTCAAAAAAAATGTGGTGGTCAAGGCTGAGTGGTGTGTTTCCTTGATGACAGGGTACCACAAGATCACCACAAGCCACAAGAATGCAATTTGAAACATCAATTCTGCACACGTAGGCCGCTCATCGCTCAGGAGAAACTTTAAACAAAACCCAAGCACATCATCAATAAAATAGTAAAATAATGTTTCCGATGAAGAGTAAAATATAATTTTGTACTAAAATGCCCTAAGAAAAAAACCCCCTGAATCTGTAATGATAACTATTTCATAAAGGATTTATTCTAATTTGTACATGTTAATGACTTCCAACACATCTTGGGAAGTTAAGAATTTTGTTTATGTTAAGAGGTTTTATGCTTGAAGGTGCTGGAATAGTGAACAGAAGCCGTGAGGGTGGGGCCCTCAGAATGGGATTAGTGCCCTTGTAAGAAGAAACACAAGAGAACTTTCTTTCTCTCTCTCTCTCTCAACCGTGAGGGATCACAGCAAGAAGGTGGCTGTCAAGCCAAAAAAAGGGTCTTACCAGACACAGACCCTTCTGGGGTCTAACCTTGGACTTCCAGCCTCTAGAATTATGAGAAATTAATTCCTGTTGTGGCATTCTAAGCTACGACATTGTATTAGCCAAATTCCCTGAAATCAATTGATAAATAACATAAGCCAAATTTGTTCATATAGAATCTAACGTAAAATATCTTAAGAAAATGTAAGACTGTTGTCCATTCAAAGCCTTACATACAGTGAGTTATCTTATTAGCTATTTATTTAGATAAACGGCAATGTCACAGAGCACGAAGTCAGGAGACCTGGCTTGTATCTTAGCATTCTCTCTAGTTGCTATGCAATCTTAAGAAAGTCTCTCAAACAGCTCAGATCAATCAGTTTATTTTCCTTGAAAACTGACTGGTCTGAACCATGCCCGGGCTTTTTCAGTCTCAGAGTTCCATGACTACTCGCGTGCTTGACAAGGGTAGCAGGCAACTCTCACTCACCATTCTGCTCTCGCTGCACTCCTGCCGCCAGAAGGTCCGGTTCCCCGAGGCTGATGTCGTTCAGCCTGGTCCCCAGACACTCCATACAGAGGTGCTTGCACCACTCCTCGGCCTCCAGCTCTGAAAATGACCACACACCATGAGTCAGGCGATGCACAGGAATCATGGGGGAGGGGTGCTTCCCGGACCATTTCGCCAGGGATTTAGGAAAAGCTCGAAACCTACCCTAAGAAAACAAAAAATGTTATATTCAAGAAGTGAAAAAAATAGTCCCACAATTATTTCCCACTGCTTGACATTATATTTTAAGGTGATTTAAAATTATTTCAATGTACTTTAACATATTTACAAATAATAACAAAATATTTACAATCTGGTATATTTAATATTGATTTGAGTTTTGAAGGGAAATTTCTTAGAAAAATTAATTAAATATAAAATGAAAATATATGCATGAATAATTGAAAATGTCAGACTAGATTGAGCAAGGGAATATTTTGCTAAATGTGACAGATTTGTCTGGGTTGAAGGTTTGATCCCCACGTCAGTCTGAATTTCAGTGGATCACAGATCAGATCAGCACAAGAATGTCAGTTTGGTGTTCTTTTTGGTAAACATCAGAAGTGGGGTCTCCTTACTTTAAAAATTTGGGAACAGGCTACTAAAAGTATCATTCTTCTTTAGCAAAGGCCAGTAATCTGAAATACAGATGAGATCACCACTCTTTTTATTACTTCTCAACTTTCTTATATTCTCAGGTGTTTTCTTTGCTTGAAATATTAGAATGTCTGACATCTACAGAGTCTTGTAGTATCTAACATTTTCACAAACATAAATAAACTTGATTCTAATATAAGCCTTGTGTAGGTGAAGGGGCTGAGGGTTAGATCTGTATCTGGGTCCCACAGCATATCATCATCATTGGTCAGGACCAAGACCAAATTGGAACCCAGGTCCTCTAGCTATTTTTAATACGCAGAGGTTTGAGAGAGTATGAGGTCGAAAATTTTGGGCCAAGCTTCCAAAAGCCCTCCATGGAAATTAGTCAAGAACTCTCCGTCGACACCTGCCCAGAGAGAGACGTTTCTGACTTTTCCATGTAGCACAAATCTATACAGAAGAGCTTACTATCGATTTCCCCACATCCTTTCTTGCTCTCCGTGGATGACACTCCAACCTTTGCCTTGGCATTTTCAACTCCTCATAAAAAGTTATCTGTGACAGGTCTTCTTGACTCCGTGGATTTAAATACCAACCTCTCTGCTCAGCGGTCAACACCGTGGAGCCTGGGGAATGTTTTCTTCCTGAGCCAGTCACACTGCCTTAGCCTCAAAAATAGGTTTGACCAGTGAGATGTCAGGGCTAATTTGTCATTCATTTTTAGTTTTTTAAAAAATAAACTTTTTAAACTAAACTTTAAAAAATTTTATTGATTTTTAGAGAGGAAGGGAGAGAGAAACATCGATGTGTGTATGAGAGAGGGGAGATCCCTGCAATTCAGATGTCATCGAAGGTTCATTTCATTTTTAACAAACATTCACAGTGAACTCACTATAAGCCAGGCAATGTGCTAGGAGGAGTTTGTGTGAAAATCACAGTGTTTTCTGTTCTCAGTAATCTTCCAGTCTAGGTGGGTGGCAGATGAGTTTGGTGTGTGGTGCTCTGGAGGGCTTAGCCAGGAAGGAAATGGGGACTGACGGCCCAGGGTCGGCGGTAAGGAAGGGATCTGACCAGGGACAGCCAGGGAGAAGGTGAGGGTGAGTGTCTGTGTGTGGTGTGTGTCAGTGGGTATCAGTATGCGTGAGTGTGAGGGTATCTGTGAGCGTGTGTTTGTGTTTGTGTGTGTGTATGTTGGAGGAATCAGACTGGACTGAGGAGGCGGCCTGGAGCTGAGCTGGAAGGCATGTCCAGAGCAGTGAGAGTGACCACCTGTGAACAGCTGGGGATGGTCCCGAGTTCGTGTAGTAAAATCAGCACTCTGCCCATGCTCGGCATGGTTTTGTCATATTTAGTTCAATTAGGTCAGCCCCAAACCCTCATCTCAGAAACTCTCAACTTTTGTAATCTGCATACTTGATCTAACAATTTTTCTGCAGAAAAGATGAATTTGTTTGAGTATTATCAAAGATCGTTTTTAAATCTGCTTTTGATAGTCACTTTTCAAATAGTTATAGCTTTATCTTTTATATGTTCTTTCTTAGGCAAACTCTATGCATTAAAGTCCTTTAATTTTTTACTGTTTGTTAAGTTACTTTGTCCCATCATTATTTAACTATCAATTTTCCCTGAATTATCTTTTATCTTTCACCTTTCCATGTTCTTTTTCTTACAGAAATGAGATTAAACACGACTGTGATAACTGAATCCATTGCATTTTAACTATTTTTTTTCCCATAGACTAAGGGCCTTCTGTTGTTTCATCCTTCCAACTTCTATCTCAGTCTACACATAGTGTATAAATAATTAAACTTCTTTATGGAGGAATAAAGGCATAAAATGTTCTACAACATTGGCTGTATTTTTCTCTTGATAGAAATGCTTTTTCCATTAAGCCTTTTATCTGAAGAGCTTGCAGCTATGCTCAAATTCTTAATTCAGGTAAATGACTTTTTCTCTAGGACAGAAACACATGTTTTCATCATGTGTAGGATTAGTTAAATGAAGAAATTCAGTAATTTCCAAAAGAAAAATGGAAAGATATTTGGAAATAACAAATGGAGAAGAGAGAGACCAAACTAAATGAGTGAATTATGAGACAAATGGGTTTATTGATTGTAGGAAAAATGATGATCAGAAATAGGGTAACACAGAAATAGACTCAAAAGTGAGCAGCTCCTCCCAAGTTTCCTCCCATCCCTTCTTCACGAATTCTGGGGAGAGGATGTCTTATCCCTTTGAATCAGAGGAGCCCTTTACATAGCAGACCTTTAATAGATGCCTAGTGAATAAATAATTAAATTCAAGCTTTATTTCTTTCACTGAATGTAGACCCATGATGATAGCATGAAAGTTAAATGATCCAAACTGGGCTACATTTGAAAACAGTGAACACTTTTTCATCACATATACAAAACAGGCTATCCATCAGGATCATACAGCAGAACTGAAAAAAAAACAAAACAAAACACCGAATTGGTGCAGTGTTAATTTAATATGAGATGCAGGCAAGACTAGTTGTATGCACAGATAATAAATTATTTCATTTAGTTCTCACTGGATTTAACTTTTATTGATAATCTTGGGAAAATGTAGGTAAAAATCATCCTTGTCATTCATATTTTGAGCATGTTAACCAAAGTTATTTTAACTCCCGTGTTGGTATATTGCATAACTCCAATATTGGATGAGCTCTCGTCCTGCTTCTATTGACTATTTTTTCTCTTTGTTCCTTTTCTGAGTATGATTGTTGATGTTTTCTTGAATGCTGGAAAGTACATATGAAACATTATAGAGAAAACTTGAGGATCTGAATGATGTTAGCTTTGTCTAGGGAGGGTTCAGTTCAGTTTTTTGCTAGTAGCTAGAGACTTACCAACTTTATCCAGCCTGGGACTCAGATGATTCAAATCTTGGTTTCTAGGTTTGACAGTACTAGTTCATATTTAATTTTTCTTTATCTCTGGAGTATAGCACTTCAGGCTCACAGCAGAATATGAGATGTTTACAAGAGTCCCTTTTTCTTGGTGGACACTGAAATCCAAATTTGATTCCCAGTATCATGAGGCTATTGAACTCTTTCTTAGCCACCACTGTCAGCTTGGCTTCTCAGCCCCTTAGTGGTTACTTACTCAACAGTACCTAGCTCATAAAGCAAAGCAGAATCATATGTCTTCACTTCTCTGTGCTTCCTTCTCTCCAGTATCTTGTTTCCTCAAATCCTGGTTGCTGTGGAACTATCTAAACTCGATTTTTTTTTCCTCCCTAGTTCCAAAAGACTGCCTGAAGCTTTCTCAGCAATCTGTCCATGGCCTCTTTCTACCTGGGCCTCAGCCTTTGGGATCTATGTGACTTATAACTTGGCAACCTGGTGCCCATGCTTCACATAGGGGAGTCTCCAAAGGAATGTCCCAGGAGAGATCTATTGTAGAATTTGTGGCCAAAATTTTTTTTTTTAAAGTCTCATTACTGGGATTACATTGCACAAATAGATGAATATAGAAAAACCTGACATTTTAGGCATTTTGTAAAGATTTATGTATTCATGTGGGTCTTCCATACTTCTCAGATTGTCTACTCCTAAGAATTATATGGGAATTTTTGCCACTGGAAATAAAGTCATTTGTTCCCATTACCTTTCCTAGATATGTATTGCTTCTTTGTAAGTCATTAATTTCTGCATATTGATCTTCTATCAAGCCACTTTACTGAACTCATTAATTCAAATTCATTTCCAATTGATTTTTTTTTGCATTTTCTAATTATATGATCATAGAGTTTGTCATGACTCAACTTTTAAAAAACACAGCTATGCAGAGAAATTTATTCATAATATAAATGAACTGGCAAGCTCTGAGGATATTCGTTGCCACTGGTAACTTCAGTTTCTTCATCCTAACAGAAGTGAGCCAAGCCCCGGCAGTGAGAGGGCATGTCCCAAACTAACAGATCCTCTTTCTCACTCTTACCACGGGTGTGTGAAAATCCAGCCCATACGACACAAGGCATCACTTCTCAGACACCTGGCCAGGAGACTTGGTTAATGTAGTCATGAGCTATTCCTATTCCTCTGAGGCAGAAAGTTTTCATTGTAGAAAAAAGGCTTTGAGAAAAGTCTTGTCATAACTATTTCTTAAATGAATATAGATTCACTATCTTTTCTATAATTAGATGAGCCTTTTACATTTTACGAGTGATAGCTGTTGAAAAAAATATCAGTGTCCCTCTCATGCCTAGGGTTTGCATGTGTCCTTCCTGGGAGGGACACAGCGTCACTACTCCTCAAATGAGAAGCTGTGTGGATAGTCAGAGAAGCTGGGGAAGCGTTCTCTCCAGGAAATAACTGGGACTCATGAAAATGCTGTCTGGATGCTGTGCTCTAATAATATCATATCCAGTGGGATTATGTGCTTGATCGTACAAACCGTCTCTCTCTCTTTTTTGTGATTCAGCTCATGTTCTCT